CACTTACAAAGAAACAGAGTAGGGTGGAGTGTGGCAGCAAGTACCTGGAACCCAGAACTGAAGCAAGAGGCTAAGAATTCAACATCAGCCAGGGGTGAAGGCACAGGCCTTCAATCCCTGGGAGTTGTTTCCTAACAGATTCCAGAAGATCATTAAGACTGGGAAAGACCCGCTAAGAGGACTAATTTCACAGTGTAGATCCCTAGTACCCATACAAAAAAGGCAGACAGCGTGACATTTGTCTGTAATTCTAGTGCTGGAGAAGCAGAAACGACAGACTCCTGGAGCTTCCTGACTGGCTAGCTTAGCCTAGCTGGTGAAGTCAGGATTTAGTGAGAGACCATGTCCCAGAAGAGGTAGGGAGGGAATGACTGAGGAAGAACATACTCTTACACCTGCGTGCATGTGAACACACACACACACACACACACACGCACGCACACACGCACGCACACACAGACACAGACACACACAGAGAAGATTGAGGGGCTGAAGGGTATCTGTGGTAGAGCATAATCTTAGTGTACATGAAGCAGTGGGTGCAATGATCACCATGAGAAATGAAAGAATAAATGTATCATTGGGTTAACAACTGACAGAAATAGTATTTGTGCTCAAAGACTATAGCGACCAAATAGGCAGGTCATTTCATCTCAAAGGACACTTTTATCTCAAAACAATTAACAGACCCCTGCCTCAAGGTCACTGAGAGGGGATGACTTACAACAGAATCTGGCACTGGAGAGTCATGCAGATACCTCATGGACTCCTTCTGTTGCCATGAGTAAGTAAGGTTTCATTCTTTGTTTGTCTGCCTGCTTATTTGATTAAGGTCTCACCTTATAGCACAGACTAGCCTGGAAATCCTCCTGCCTCAACCTTTTGAACGCAGGAATTTCAGGCATGGGTTACCACACCAGCTAGAGCCTTTATAAATACCACAATATGCAAACATTTTTTCCTAGTAAAAGATTGTTGGCAAGGCAAGAATAAATAAATACAAATGTAGCATTAAGTGAGTGCTGATTAGAAAAAAAGACTTCCTGAAAATAATAAAATGCAAGAAGAGATTATTTATAAGGTAATCTTGCCACTGAGATTTATAAGAAAATAGGGTGAGTTTTGATCTACCTGGGATGACTTAGGTGGGATATTGACTGAAGCTGCAGGATAAACCCAAGATCCTTTCAACGTCTCTTCCCATCCAAAGACTCTAAGATTAACCAGAAAAGAAAATTAATCATGTACAACCTACTCATCCTAATCTAGAAATATAAATAAGTTTTATTCTTAGCAAATAAAATAATAACCAAAATAAAAGTGACGTTCCATTGATACCTGGGTATGGTAGCCAGTGCTTAAAATCCTAGCACTCAGAGACTAGGCAGGAGGTTTGCCACAACTTTAAGGCTAGGTTAGACTACGTAGTCAGTTTCAACAGTCCAGGCTACAGTGTGAGGCCATATCTCAAAACAAACACAGAAAACTAGAGACAAGCCAGGTGTGGTAGAGCTCATCTTTACTCCCAGGACAGAAGAGGTAGAAAGTGTATCTCTATGAGTTCATGTCAGCCTGGTCTAATTAGTAGTTCCAAGCCAGCCAGGGATATAATGAGACCTGGTTTCAAAACAAAATAATTCTACTAGGTGAACAAAAGAAAACAGCTTAAATTTAACACTGGAGTCCTTATGATAAGTAATAATGTCTGTATTAAAAGATCATCCATTTTCAGCCAGGCATGGTGACCCACCTCTTTAATTCCAGCTTAACAGAAGCAGAGGCAGGCCAATCTTGTGGGTTAAAGGTCAGCCTGAGCTGGGCAGTGGTGGCACACACTTTTAATCCCAGCATTTGGGAAGCAGAGGCAGGTGGATCTCTGTGAGTTCGAGGCCAGCTTGGTCTACAGAGTGAGTTCTAGGACAGCCAGGACTGTTACACAGAAAAATCTTGTCTTGAAAAACCAAAAAAAGGCCATCATGGTCTAGTCGACATAGCAAGTTCCAGGCCAGCCAGGTCTATTTAGTGAGACCAGTGTCTCATAAACAGTTTTAGAAATATGAACCGAGGACTGAGAGTGTGGTCGGCATGTGTGATGCTCTGGAGTTCACACCCAGCACAGAAGAAGCAAAAAGGAAGGAACTAAGATGAAGGAAAGAGAAAAGAAAAAGAGAGAGGAGATCACTGAGAAACAATCATTCACAGCAACAGTGGTTTAGCACACCGTAGCAATGTAACAGAAACAAAATGAGCACTCAAATAAGCTCCTTCCTTTGACAGACAGCCAGATAAACAGATCACCTTTTGAAAAATGCATCATAAAAATGGCAATATCTTGGGGGCCGGAGAGATGGCTCAGAGGTTAAGAGCATTGTCTGCTCTTCCAAAGGTCCTGAGTTCAATTCCCAGCAACCACATGATGGCTCACAACCATCTGTAATGGGGTCTGGCGCCCTCTTCTGGCCTGCAGGCATACACACAGACAGGATATTGTATACATAATAAATAAATAAATAAATAAGTATTTAAAAAAAAAATGGCAATATCTTAAACAGAGTATAGCCAGCCCAGGCACAGCTACAGGTATGTGCACATACCTTGCAGAAACAGATATCTCATATTAAAGTCTCACTTCATTTTCAAAGTTATTATTTCCAGACTAGTGCCAAATTAAGAAGCAAATATTTGTTTTTTTTTATTATTTTATTTATTTATTATGTATACAGTATTCTTTCTGCGTGTATGCCTGAAGGCCAGAAGAGGGCACCAGACCTCATTTCAGATGGTTGTGAGCCACCATATGGTTGCTGGGAATTGAACTCAGGACCTTTGGAAGAGCAGGCAATGCTCTTAACTGCTGAGCCATCTCTCCAGCCCAAGAAGCAAATATTTGTAATTAAAATTCTTCTATAAGTTGCCAAATAAATCTACCTACCTTCAATCTGCCTAGAATAATCCAGAAAATAAACCACTGAACTATAAGCTTGCCCTTAGCACAGCTAAAAGTTAGCCCAGAGTTCAAATTCTAAAATATCCAAATATATGTATGTGTGGACATTTCTGATATCCACAAATCAAAAACAAACTTTGCTAACCCTTATTAATGCCAGAAACTTATCTTCTGCTACTTATGCAAATGTCCACCAAGTGAGAGCAATCTAAAGTCACACAATTTTGGAGAAGTGGGCTAGGCTTTACGTGTGTGTGTGTGTGTGTGTGTGTGTGTGTGTGTGTGTTTGTTTCAGAGTCTCATGTAACCCAGGCTGGCCTCATACTCACTCACATAGGCAAGGCTGACCCCTGCTACCTTGGGAGTGCTCGGAAGACAGCCATGCACTACCATATAGTGCTAGAGGATTAAACCCAGGTCTCCGTGAATATTAGGTAAGCACTCTACCAACTGAGCTACATCTCAAGTCCCTAAAATAAGGGTTGCTGAAGTATGCTGTCTGGCTTGCCGAGCTGAGGGCCAACCCCAAGCCCTTGCACATGATAGACAAGTGCTCCACCATCAGCAACACTTGCAACCTCTACAGGACTTGAGGGAGAAAAGGCATCACTGTGGCTATGAATGTGCACCAACGAAATAAACTCAAGACTAGATAGACGGCTCAGTGGTTAAGAGCATCGACTGCTCTTCCCAGAAGACCCAGAACGCACACACAGCTCACAACTGTCTGCAGCTCCAATTCCTGAGGATCTGATTCCATCTTCTGCAGTATCCCTCTGCAGGCACAAATACACATGCATGCAAACAGAGCACCTATACACATAAAATTAAATTTCAAACAAGATTGTCAAGAATAGTTGTACCCTCTGTCCCCCTTACAGGAAATCACACGCTGTCTTTCACATTATCAAATGCAAAGTAAATACTCATCAATATTCTTAGTGAAATGCAAATGCTTTAGAATGAAAATCATTAAAAACTTCTACCAAGAAAGAATAACCTAAATTTTGCCCCAAAATTCTTATCTTCCTTTTAATCTCCAAAATGGTCTTACAGGGCAAGGGAGATGGTTTATTGGGTAAAGGAGTTTGCTGCCAAGACTGACAATCTGAGTTCAATCCCCAGAACCCTCATGATGTAAAGAACCAACTTCTGTAAGTTGTCTCAGACCACATGTGCTCCACATACATATAAATAAATAAATGTAAGTATTTTAATTTAAAATAAGTCTTAAAAACCAAAAGGTTCTAAATATTAATATGTCCTTCCTAGTCACAATCATAAAATACAGCAGGCAGAGGGACGGCGATCTTATCTTACAGAATTTTTTCATAAGAGACATTGAAAAATGCATTATGTAATCTAAAAGATGAGTCCACAGCTCTAAAACTCTCCACAACTCTCCACTCCACCTTTCTTTCTCACAGTCTGCAAAACTGAGGAGTAAGCAACTCCACAAAAATGTTCTACACAAAGCTGAGAGCAGCTTAGGAACTCAATCCCCCTTTAGCACAGTTCCCTGGTTGGTTATTCACCTTTCCCTGAATGGTTTCTCCTTATTCTCGAGCCCCTGAAAACAACTGAGGAGAAATCTGGCTGAATAAGGAAAACAGAAAGAGTCCTAGCTGTCTCTATCCCAGTGGTTCACTTCAGTGGAAAGAAAACACTGTTGACGAGACCCACCCTAACTACCCCAGCACACAGGCGCACTGGAAATCAACATAGCCCCTTACCCCTTAGCACGGTAGTAAAATTACAAGGTTTTAAGCATCTAAGGCTGCCATTTTTCTATTACTTCTATTACAAAATCAAGTCAAAATGGGTCCCATCTTTTCAAAGTGGCCAAGAGAGTGGATTTTCAAGCAATGAAAGATGGAAACTGGATCCAAGACTCCTTGAAGAGAGAAAAGGGATCTGGAATTTCCTACTTTTAGGGACAAAAGGAGTCACAAATTCAATACACATTTCTCTTAACAAAGAACTCCTGTGCTGCACCCCACCTGGGCCCCTACTGTTCGCTTTTACCCTTGTTTCGAGGGCCCCTTTCACTCACCATGGTTCCTTATCTTCTGCACCAAAGGCCCCTACCCTGGATTCTTCACTACACAGCGTTTGTGCCCTGCCCCTTCCAGACCTTCTGGGGCACCTCAGAGCAAAATGCGCATTCGGCTCCCACTCCTGTGCAACCACCCCAGTTCGACACCCATCAGGACTCTCCCCGCTTCCCTTAATCTCCTTTCTCTTTCCTTACTCCCCATTCCATCCTTTAAATTCCAGGGCCCATCTCTTCCTTACTCATCTTCTCAGGCTGTTTTTCAGCCAGTCCTTGCTGCCCTCCAATGTCCCCAGGTTCCCTGGCCCAGAGCACCATCACTCCTTAAACCGTGCTTCTAGCGTCCGCTCAGCTTTTCTTTTCTCCCACAACTGTCCTATTAACGCCCAGCTCTAAGCTCGCTTTCCTTTCGTCCTTTCACTAACGCTCCAATTTCTGACTCCACCTGGTTGTAATCCAGGTCTCCTGCCTCCCTCACTTTGCAGAATTTACACCCATCACCCAGCTATTGACCCACACCTTGTCGATCCTACCCCAGCTGATCCCAGCCCTTCAGCTCATCCCTGGCTCAGCACTAGTTCACACCCTTGTCACGTCTGGCTCTTAATCACTCTCTCTCCCCTACTCCCAACTATTACCCGGTCCTGCTCCTTGTCTTTCCGTGCAACTCTTCTGGCCCTGGTACCCCTCACCCCAACATCACCCACCTGCCAAGCCTTGCCCCTTGTAGACCCCTGCTCCTAGCCCTGACCCCGGATTCCTTCTTCCCAGCCCCGGGCTTCCTAACCTCATCCCGGGGCCAGCCTGGGTTTCTTTTTCACTCCTCTCCCGGCTTCTAACCCTTTCTCCTAATTCCCCTCATCTTATACTCAGCAACCGCTCCCCCAGCAGCCTGCCTTCCCCTCTCTCCCTTCAAGGATTTCACCTCAGAACCCAGACGTCGCCCACCCCGCCAAAACGCAGCGCCCGCGCGCCGGGGCTCGCGCCTTCGCTGTCGCCTCCCGTCGTCCCCGCCCCGGGCGCCCCAGGACCGCCGGCGTCGCGGTCCCGCCCCCTGCCGCCGCTCCTCCCGCCCGCAAGGCGCGCGCCGCCTTTGTCGCCCCTCACCCGGTGTGTGAGAGGATTTTTTTTTTCTCCTTTAAAAGGGGAGGGCCGGCATGCCGGGGCCGGGTGTCCCCGCCTCCGAATGTCTGCGCGGGATCCCAGCCACCGCGGACCCCCACGCCCCCCGGGCCGCCCCCTTGGCCGCTTCGCCGGCCCTCCGCCCCCTCCCCAGACCCCCCCCCCCTCTATTTACCGCCATCATCAGCACGCGCGAGCTGTCACCAGGGCGCGAGACAAGCGGACAGACCACACCCCCCATCGCTCATTGGTACGCCTACTATAGTCCCGCCCCCAGGGCCCCGCATTGCGCCAACGGCGCGCCTCCTGGCCGCGACCTCTGGCCTCTACGCCCTCTCCGCGGGTTCGCGCCACGGGCACCAAGTTTCGGGTCAGCCAAGACGAGGCGGCCGTCGGCCGGTCGGCGTGAGGGGGCAGGCGCGGAGCGGCCCGGGAGAATCGCCGGTAAAGTTTGGTTGAGTCACAAGAGGGTACAGAAGATTTCTAGACAAAGAGACTCTTAAAGGTGCAGAGTCTAATGTCTGGCCCTCCTCCTTAAAGGGCCAGGCTTCTGCCGAGCACCACCGCCTTCTTTCCAGCCCTTAGTCTACGGATCTGTAAAGGAATTCTGCGCGAGTTCGTTTACTCTGCGGCTTACCTTTAATTTGTCTCACCCCTCCAAAGAGGCCTTTTCCACTCCTGCTTGCTTTTTGGTTTTGTTGTTTTCTTTACGGTGCAGCGGCAGCCAGCGAACCATGGAGTTTTCCCGAGACAGCGTTTGCAAAAGTTACTCTTGGCGCCTGGACAAGCACACACGTGTGAACTTTTGCCACTGATGGCCAAGGCGCGATTCAGCTGTTTATGAAAATCCTCTTCAAAAGGAGAAGGAAAAGATCGTTGCTCCCCAAATGGGGCCTAGGAAATAAATCAGACCGAGGTGGCGGTAGCCCTAAGGACTTCCAAGAAGGGTGAAATCCATTCTGAAACAGAAAGGAAAGACTGGCTCACAAAGTAGGTAAGCTTCCTGGGTGGCACTGTCCTGACCAACCTTGCGGGAGAGGATCCCTCCAAAGAAGATACAGTGTTACAACACCCAAGACAAGGCTAAGGCAGGCAAAGACATTTTTAGTTTAAGAAAAAAAAAAAAAAGAAGCCGGGTGGTGGCAAACACCTTTAATCCCAGCACTCGGGAGGCAGAAGGAAGCGGAGCTCTCAAGGCCATCCTAGTCTAGGAGCGAGTTCCAGGACAGGCTCCAAAGCTACAAACAGCGAGTTCCAGGACAGGCTCCAAAACTGCAAAGAAACCCTGTCTCTAAAAACTGAAAAACAAAAGGAAAAAATAAAAACAAAAAGAAATGTATATTATATGCTACAGTGGTTCAAGGCTTTATATCTGTAAATATGGAATAAGTAAAAATGGCAGAAATTAAAAAATAAAGCCGGACGTGGTAATCAAATCAATCAGAAGGCAGAGGCAAGAGGATGGCATTGAGTTCTTAGACTCTATAGACTGCATGGTGGATTCAGGGGCAGTTTTGGATAAGTAACAAGAGCGTCCTGGATGAGGACGCAGGCCCTAGGTTCAATTCCCACAGTGGAGGCCATGCACCTTAACAGTTCTCTTTATGGGGTTCTAAGTTGTAACTCTTTACCTTAAGTGGATGTAATAATAAACATTTTAAAAGCTATCTTTTGTTCTCTTTTCCCAGTTCCCAACAACTTCTTGAAGACAGTTAAGCATCTTATTCAACATTTCCTAACAAGGTGCTTTTCTGAGTGAGAAATCTGGAAGCCACTTAAAACTTGAGGAAGTTGGGGGCTGGAGAGATGGCTCAGTGGTTGGGAGCATTGCCTGCTCTTCCAAAGGTCCTGAGTTCAATTCCCGGCAACCACATGGTGGCTCACAACCATCTGGAATGAGGTCTGGTGCCCTCTTCTGGCCTACAGACATACACACAGACAGAATATTGTATACATAATAAATAAATATTAAAAAAAAAACTTGAGGAAGTTATATGCTCAGAATAGGAAGGAGGAAAACAGCCCCACCACTGTAAGCACACATCACACCTGTGGTTCTCCAAGTCTGCTGCCGGGGATCCATTCGGAAGGTCTCTGAGACACAAACTAATTTTAAAAGAATATTGAAAGTAATCTGGAGGCTGGAGAGATGGCTCATAAGTTAAGAGCACTTGCTGCTCTTCCAAAAGCTGTGAGTTTAATTCTCAGCAACCACATGGTGGCTCACAACCATCTATAAAGAGATCTGGTACCCTCTTTTGTCATGCAGGCAGAACACTGTATACATAATAAATAAATCTTATAAAAAAGATTTGTTGTGGGAATGCCATTGGACTGATGATAAAAACAGAACAGTAAGGGTGAGACATGCTGGCTCAGTGGGTAAGCTCTTGCTGCTAAGTCTGCCTTTCTAGTTCCATCCCCTGGATGCACACGAAAGAAGAGCACAGGGTTTTGCAAGTTGTCCTACTGTGTGAGGTTCCACACAATAAACACAACACACACACACACAAATGTGATTTAAGGTTGACGCTGGCAAGATGGTTCAGCCTATAAACACTTACCACCAAGCCTCACAATCTGGATTTGATTCAGGGACTACATGAAGAAGAAATAATTCCCAGATGTTGTCCTCTCACAGTTACATGTGTGTGCCCACATACAAATAAGTGAATGTAACTTTAAAAATATTTTAAAAAGAATAGTGAAGTTGGGCGGTTGTGGCGCACTCCTTTAATCCCAGCATTCAGGAGGATGCATCTCTGATTTCGAGGACAGCCTGGTCTACAAAGTGAGTTCCAGGACAGACAGGGTTGTTACCTGTCTTGGAAAAGCAAAAACAAAACAAACAAAACAACGAATACAACTGCTGTTGACTTACCACAAAAGCACAGATTACAAGAAACCAAAGTAGCATCCAAGTGTTCTTTCACGGCACGAGACAAAAACAATGGTTTCACTTAAATCTCAGGTTAAACACTAAAAGCTATTCTAAGTAGACCTCAGGCGTGGTGCACACACCCGGGACTCCAACTCTTAGTTCCCTGCAGGAGTTCAAGGTCATACTCCGCTCCACAGAAAGTACAAGGTCAATCTAGACAAGTGAGATGGTTTTAAAAAAATCAAAAACCTAAGTAAACCACCAAATTTTATATATATATTTACTTATTTATTTTAGAGGGGTGAGGCTGGGAAGATCACCTCAGATTGGAGGCTAGCCTGGAGTACACACTGTTCTAAACAAGCCTGGGCTACAGACTGGTCTTTCTCAAAACCTAACAACAAAGCGTCTCTCAAAATAAATAAAAGATCTATTACACATTATATATAGTTCACAGATGATCTATACAACTGGACTCACTTGCCTGGTTGCAAAAACTACACCCATTTTTTTTTAGGAGGGTGAAGCAGGAGATCACTGTGGACTGAAGGCTGGTCTACAGGATATAATCATCTGGGCCACAGGGGAATCCCTTGTCTCTAACAACCAAAAGAGAACAATAACATCAACCAGACACGCTGGCCCACAGTTAATCCCAGCACTCACAATGGATATGAGTTTGAGGTATGCCTTGCATACACAGGCAGTTCCAGGAAGCCAGAGGTACCCAGTAAGACTGTCTTACGAAGAAAGCTGTATAACACACCATCTCTCTCACAGCTTTCATACTCTAATGCAGAACATTCTTTGTAACAAGTGAATTTACCCTGCTTAAGCAATGACTCCACAACCTCCCAACTTTTCTTCCAGTCTCTTTTGTGAGATAGGTTCTTGTTTTGTAACCCAGGCTAGCCCTTCAATTGTATCAGCCTCTCTGTGGCCAGATTACAGTCATGTGCCTCAGTGTCGAATGTAGTTATAAGTATTCTCTGTCCTGCTGTGGACCGGGTTTCCGCAGCCTGCCTGTTCCCGAAGCCAGGGGCCCACCTAGCTATATTCTGCCATGCCAAAGTAGCTTCTTTATTAACCAACAGTAATAAAACATTCGTAGTATACAGAGAGGAATCCCACATCAGTCTAACTTTCCATCCTAAACATCCTAATCTATCATCAACATCAGCACTATTATTAAAATGAGCCAGAGACAGGCTGGGGAGATGGCTCAGTGGTTAAGAGCACTGGCGGCTCTTGCAGAGGACTGAGCTTTGATTCTAGCACCACATGGGTGCTCACAACCATCTGTAACTCTGCCCTCTTCTGGTCCCTGTGCAAACCAGGCACGCATGTGGTGTACACACATATATACAGACAAAACGTAAAATTAACAAAAGAGAATCCAGAGACCGCACCTTTGTGTTCACAAAGCACATATTTATTTCCCTTTCAACATCTCTACAATCCCGCTGTACAGCTACAACCCAAAGCAAATGTGATTATGTTAAGCCTAGTACTACAGCTAGCTCCCAGACAGCTGTCTTCCTAAACCAGCATTCTCATCCCTTTAGCGGGAAGCCCAGCACATCTGTCAACCCGAGCCTTGCCTTTCCTACACAGATTCCCACTGTTAAATTCAGCTCCAGGGCAACCTGGACAACATAAATGTACTCTCCAAATTTTCCTTTTTAAGTATTTAGTGGGGCTGGAGAGATGGCTCAGAGGTTAAGAGCATTGCCTGCTCTTCCAAAGGTCCTGAGTTCAATTCCCAGCAACCACATGGTGGCTCACAACCATCTGTAATGGGGTCTGGTGCCCTCTTCAGGCCTGCAGGTGTACACACAGACAGAATATTGTATACATAATAAATAAATAAATATTTTTTTTAAAAAAGTATTTAGTGCCGGGCGGTGGTGGCGC